ACCAAATCCCCAGCCATAAACTCTCGTTTTTCACTTTTTAGGTCATAATCCTTTTTCATCTTTTCTTTGTAGGATATAGCAGATACCGATTGGATCTCACGACTGTGCCTCATTGACCTACAAATGTTGAAGGTTGCTTCTTCATTATTCAACTAAAATTTCATCTGCTCCTTTTCCATATCAACGAAGGCTCTACCCGTAGCAAGGAATGGCCTCCCAAGAATAATAGACACTTAAAAATTGACTTCACAATCAAGAATAACAAAATTTGCCAAAAATATGAACGACTCCACTTTTACTAGTACATCTTGGAGTATCCAAATAGGCCTTTTCATTGTTCGATCGTCCATCAGTAGCCGCATGGCAGTTTGTTTTGGGTCACCCAGACCCAACTTCTTGTAAATCAAAAGGGGCATGAGATTTATGCTTGTCCCCAGATCACATAATGCTTTCGCAAAATGTAATAACCCGACTGAACAAGGAATAGTGAACGCACCTGAATCTTCTTTCTTTTGTACGAGAGATCTTTTAGCAATGGCACTACAATGCTGCATTCTATCATCACCCTCAAAAGTTACCAATCTTTTCTTTCTAACCATATAATTCATAAACTTGGCATAACCGAGAATTTGTTCTAGAGCTTCTACCAAAGGGAAATTGATAGAAAGCTGCTTCAACATTGTTATAAAATTCCAATATTTACCATACTCGGTCTAGGCATGAGAATTACCTTTATAGGCACTTCAGCATCTTTACCAGTGTTATGTTCTACTTCACCACTACCCTCTACCACCTTATCATTATCTTTTATCACCTTCTCCTCCTTAGACGGCATAGGTGGGTCAGTGTTGCTAGGAAGCCTGCCTAGTTTCTGTGTTTTCACAGTCGCAGATAATTGGACCATTTGCAACTCAATCTGCTTAACCGATATTGCATGTGTATCGACTTTCTGCCCAATACCCACTAAATCACTCCTTAACTCTTTCATGTGCTCATCATTAGCATCGAACCTCCTCTACATTTTGTGCAACATATCCTCAACTCGCGCCATACTATCTCCATCATCCCTACGAGTAGATTCACGATTATGAGGAGGGACATAGGGCTCATTCCTATCATTTCTGTTACAATAGTTACCACTGTTGAAGTTGATGTCGCGATTGTAGTTTCAATCTCAAAAATAATGACCCTCACAATTATAGTTACCATAGATCCGACCTTTGTTTCCTTGACCTTGGCACCAATTCTCCTGATTTGAGCGTTGGGCACTCGGTCGGAAACTCCCTGTCTGCTCATTTACCGCATAAGAATACTCCACATAATAGCATTCATCATTTGGTGGTGGTGGTTTATACAAGTAGTAACTGCATTTATCTTTTTCCCACCCCAGTGATATGTTTTAATACCAACCCAAGGTCAGTTCTCATCTGAGCCATCTCTTCACAAATCTCATCTGTGGCTGGATTGTATAGTGGATTGTACTACGAAGGTATTTCTCCTAATATCTAACTTCCTAGTACTCCAAGCTTTATTTTTCCAGGAGATTTTCTCTAATTTTTCGGCAATCTCAGCATAAGGAAACTCCCAATAGGAACCACGCGCTATAGAATCCAACACCGCTTTATTGTTATCATCTTGTCCCCGCTAGAAGTATTCCTTCAGTGACTCATCATCTATACAGTGATTTGGGACGCTTCTAAAAAACGAGGTGAATCTATCCCAAGAACTTCTAACTGACTCTCCTTGTAGTGCCACAAAGTTGTTCACTCTGTTTTTGTTGTTTAGTTTCTTGGAGACCGGGTAGTAGTGTGCTAAGAAAACATCCTTTAGTTGGTTGCAAGTGAAAATTGAGTTATAAGGGAGCTCAGTGAACTAAATAGCAGCCTCTCCCATCAGTGAGAGAGGAAACACTCTTATCCCTATTTTATTCAAGTCCAAGTCAGGCCTCCCTAAACAGCTTTTATACAATGCTCTTACCTTGGATATATGGGCATGTAGATCCTCAGAAGGTAGCCCTGAAAACAAACCTCTGGCAGTGAGCATTTCCATTAGGCTACTAGTTACCACAAAGGTGTGGCATGGTGGTATAGGGGTCAAGTCAAGTGGCCCATCAGAGTCTTCTATATTGTCATAGCCTCTGTAGTATTCTTGGGGACGTGGAGGGGGATTTTGTCCCCTCTGTTGCTTTTCACCCGGAGCATCGGGAAATAACTGACCGTGAACATCAACCTGAGCTGGAATGTTCTGGTTTGGATCATCATCATTAATACTCATGTTTTGATTCATGTTGCGTAATGTATGCTCTAATTTGTGATCGTAGAGAAACAAGTGTTCTCTTCCTCTCCATGTATTTGTCAAACAAGGAAGATAGTTCTACAAGAATAAAAAAACAATAAACAAAGTAGAATTAAGAAAATAGCGACTAAACTATAGTAATAAGTTTAAGTTAAGCTAAAACGTACATTCCCCGGCAGCGGCGCCAAAATTTGATACGCTCAAACTTATTTCGCAAATAAGAAGTAAAACGGTCGTATCAAGTAAAAAATCCAACTAATAAGGTTAGGATCGTTCCCACGAGGAAAATAATTCAGACTTAACTTCAATTTTTTATTACTATTATTTAGTCAATTATTTCCCTACAAAATAAAGACAATAAAAGGGTTTTTTTTATTTCGAAATGACTGAAAATAATTAGCTAAATCAAAGTAGACAACTAACAGATTCAAATGTTGGAGTTTAATCAATTAATAAAAGTAACTAGGGTTTAAGTGTTCCCCACAGGTTCCTAACTTGATAATTCTAACTATAACAATTCTTTCCTAGTATCTTGCATGAAAAGTGATAAGTTATGTATTTCTAAATCCTAGGTCCTGCATCTAGAATATTTCACTCTGCACCTTGGTTCAGCTACGTGTATTGCTATGTACTAACCCTTACCATTACCTCATATTAAGCATTGTATTCGATATTTAACTAAGTTATTAACTCGTACGAATCAATACTAGCCTATTAGATAGTATACACTAAATCTATGTTCATAATTCTTTTCCTATTATCTACCTCCTTGGTCCGGTAAGTAGCATTAAGGCGAGTTCTACGTTGGTCATCCGTTAAAAAGACTTCTAAGCGAAAAAATCATCAATACATGCAAGACACTATTCTTGAATTATTATTTTAGTTAAATTCTATCTTATTATTCACCCATGGTTCCCACAACCCTAGTTATGGAGTTAGTTACCTATGGTCATAATCACAATATTCATATATATGATATAATAATTTATGCACTTACTTCAATGAGAAAGAATAAAATCCAGAAATTTACTTGATTAATCAACAAAATCACCAATGATAAACTCCAGAGAATAGTGTAGCAATCCAAAGTCTAATAATTAAAATAATCTCATAATAAAGAATCTAACATAAAAGTGTCTAATCACCAAGAATCTAACTATATGAGAGTTTAACCATATAAGAGTCTAACCCAAAAAACAAGGTTTTTACTACTATTTAAAAAACAAAGCTATTAAAAGAAGGACTCTAATTGCTGGAAATCTATCAAAACGCGGATGGGTTGACGGACCTCGCCACGGGACGTCATGATTTTGACGGGCCCTCATGGACTCCGTTGTCCCATACTTTGCAAATTCTTATGCCGATCTCTTCATTACCGTCAACTACAGGTATGACGGACCGTTCCAAGTGCAACGGTCTATCGAGGGTCTCCATTCTATAACACATAAACTCTTGGAATTTGGGTATTGGTACTACTTCTTTGATCATCACGACGAACCAGCAGGACGGACCGTTATGGCTACGACGGGTCGTCATGCCCCTCGTAACCCCACACTTGATCAGACTTCCCCATCTTCCATCAGCAGCTTTACTACGATGCCACCTTCGTACCGTCACAGGCACGACGGACCATCACAAGCTCTGTAGGTGGTAACTTTCTGCTTTTTTTGCTCAAAAACTTCCGCGTTCATCTTTAGACAGATATCCTGCAAATAAAGAGAAACTTACATAAAAAATAATACAAAAAGACTTTTGGACACACACTAAACTAAAGAAAAAATTATTAAAAATACCGTGAAACCACGGTATATCAAGGGGGGTCGAGGGGGGGTAGGGAGGGATGGGGAACGATTGCTTGGGGGGTGTCCAGTGTACATTGAAAAAATAAATATTTGAAGTTGAAAATATTTTTTAAACAAACTTATTTTTTTTGATGGGGTTAGAGGTGGGGGTGACGGGGGGACGATGGTAGGGATGAAAAATGAAATTTCAAAGTTGAAAACATTTTTAATAATAAACTTTTTAATTTTATTTTTGGGTGGGAGGTGAGGGGATTAGTGTGAGGGTGGTGGGGGAGGGTCGAGGGCAGGGGTAAAAAAATAAAATTTTGAAGTTCAAAATATTTTTGTAAAATTAAATTTTAATTTTTTTGGGAAGCGTATGGTGGAGGTCGAGAGTTGAATTATTTATAGGGATTCATATATAAATGTTTTAAAAATCGCTTTTAAAATTTGGTAACAGAAGATTTTTTTAAAATTTGGAGAAAACTTGCAATACCTAAATTTGACATATAGTTTACCCATAAAATACTCATATTTTAATGGGTAAAATATGGGTTTAATCCCGAATATTACCCATATTTAAAATAACTCTTTCCACCCATATTTGATGGGCTATTTGGGCGGGTCAGTGATGGGCTTAAATTGCCAACACTAGTTCCACTTAATTTTAAAAAGGCAAAATGGTCTGGTGAATCCTTGAACTTGTATCAGTTTGTATTCTGAATCCTTCAACTTATGTTTTTATCATCTGGACCCTTAAACTCAATTAAGATGAGACTTTTAAGCCGCTCCAACTATGTGTGTAGCTTTACCTCTTTTATATAATTGACATGTCATATCCACGTCAATATATTAATGCCATATCATTATTATTTCATAACTATTTTTTAAAAATTATTTAATAAAATGTAAAATAATATCATTTTAATTTCTTTTTGACATTTTCTAAAATGAAACTCCAAACATCTCATTATCTCTATCTTCACTGTTTTATTACATAAAGCAGGCCTTAATTACGACATAAACGCTGATTATTACCTTTGAAGATTCAGTTAACATAGCTAGAAGAGACTTCACATGTGATTCAAGCAGAATATACAATGTCACACATTTGAACTACCCTTCATTTGTTGTTCCATTCCCAACCAATATTGAAAGTGCCAGTTCAATCGCAATCAAATGTAGTCGGACACTGACTAATGTTGGATCGTCTGGAACATACAACGTTATCCAGTGGAAATTATAATGTCGGCGAATCACATATACTTTTTCCTTCATTCATGTTGGTCTCTATCGCACACCTTTACTATTTTGCTTTCCAAACAACAACTTAAGCCACCACACCATCAGATCTGACTGAAAAAACTCTTCATCGCCATGGCCGCACTCTAACCCACCTCTTTCTCCTCTGTAGTAGTCAGTGTCGCATCTCTCTCACACTATAGTGTGAAACAATGGTGGCGTTCACCACTAGTCCCACTTCTCTCTCAAGCCACTGTGATTCAATGGTCTCCGACGAGCAATGGTATGCTTTCTCCCTCCACTGTAAATCAATTGCCAATATTTGCTAAATAGATCTGCTACATAGATATTTGTAAATGGCGGAGAAGGATAAAAAAAGTTTGGCCATGAAAATGGCCAAAAAGAAGGGGTAATGGGGAAAAAGTAATGATTTTTTAAATTTTTTTATAATTTTAAATTTTTTATTTTTTTATATGTTTAATTTTTTTTAAACCTAAAAAAGTTCTTCACTCGGCTTAAGGGGTGTGAAATCACACACTTTCGCCAACTTAGCCATCTTAAAGCAACATAAGCGTGATTAATGGTCAAAGGGGTTTGATAAAAAAAATTTATTGAGTTTGAGGGTCCAGATGATAAATAGATAAGTAGAAGGATTAAGAATACAAACTAATACAAATATAAGCATTTTGCCTTTTAAAAATAACATTCTAATACATTTATGAGGAGAGAGAAAATTAAGTCTACTTTTGAAGGGCAATTTGATAAACATTTCAAATTCTTCATTTATTTCTTAAACCAAGTATCTAGTCAAATGTTATCAAATAAAATGAGACGGAGAAAGTAAATAAAATAATCTTTGATTTTCATTTGATGAGTAGGTTTATGTATTATGGTAGTCAATTTTTTTAATCAAGTTATTAAGTTTTTTAAGTTTTCAAGATTCTTATATGCGTAAAGTAGTACTAAAAAGAAAATAATATGTTCAATCTATTTGATAATTTATAGAAAAGGTTAACGGACATGATATATGTGTTTCATTGATGCTTATATCTTAATGTGTATGGAGCAATGAAAAAATATTTAAGTTATACAAAATATAACTATTCTAACAACTCCAATAATCATACTTAAATAACATGAATGAAGACATGAAATAAGGAAACTCATATGCTTGAAATTCTATTTCTTCTTCTTTTTTGTCTGAATTGAATTTAATATCGAATGATGATTCTTTTAGATATTTTATTAGTTTAAATGTGAGTGTCATATATTTATGGCTATTTTTTCTTTTATCTGTGTATATATTTTTTATTTTTAGTAATTAATTTTGTTAAGCATTTTTAGTCTTTCAGTGAAATGTACTATATTAAATTAAGGAAATTATGTGTAGGCAAACAATAATCTATAGGTTGATATTCAAGTATTTTTCATTTGGATATTTTTGTAATTATACAATCTAATTTTTAAGAATTTTATTGAAAATTTTCATTCATTAAAATATATGAAAATTAAATTACTTCTAGAATTATATATTATAATAAAGCTAAAAATGCTGAACAACTTAATTTTCATTGTGTCACTACATGATTTTTTTAGGAAAAATTACGTGCATAAGTAAACATATACTATTTAATAACATATAATAGCTATAGTTTGCTATAATTACTACTTGCGACTAACATTATACATTAATTATGAGGGTAACCTCGAGTTTGTATAATTAGTCATTTTTGTATATGTATAACTCGCCATGATATACAAATAAAAATGTATAATATATAATTTTTTAGCCAATATATATATATACAATTGACCTCTCTCCCACTCTTTTCCCTCTCTCGCTGGCCTCTCTCATCCATCTCTCAAACTCACTCACCTCTCTCCTCCATCTCCTAGTCTCGCTTGTCATTTATACAAATGTATATGTACAATATACAGTTACATACAATTATATACATATACAATTTACCTCTTTCCCACTCTCTTCCCTATCTCGCTTGCCTCTCTCCTCCCTCTCCCAATAGTGCTCACCTCTCTCCTCTCTCTCCCAATCTTTCTTGTCATATATACAATCACATATGCATAATATATAATTATCTAACCAATATACATATAAAATTCATCTTTCTCCACTCTTTTCCCCCTCTCGCCTCCAAATAACATATAGCTACAAATTGTAATTATCAAACTATAGCTACGAAGAATAATTAATTATTTTAAAGTGTTTATACGTGAAGTTTCCTTTTTTTTATTTATACTATACTAAAGAAGAAATGATATAACAATTGAACTTTATTTCGTGTCATTGTATGATATTTTTGATTAATTTAAAAATTCTTTCCTTAAAACCAATATGACAAATTTTAAACCTCAACCTTTGATTATTATACAAAGAAATCAATGAAATATTGGAACGATATTCTAAAAAAATTTTTTTGAGTAAAATATATAAAGAAGGCAAAATATTTCAAATGATCTTAAGACGACACATAACTATGAATACATTTATTTTTGTGAAGATAAATACAATTAAATATAACATTTTAACCTTTAAAATTGAAAAGCTACAGTAAAACAAAACTAATCATCTACTCCCTCTGCCTCAATATTAGCAACCAACTTAATTATTTATGAAATTTTGCACGTCTTAAAAATTTGTAGTAGTTTTCACTCTTTGTGTCTCTAATTGATCAGGGAGCAAGCATTGCATGGACAGTATTTTGTTTATTGGCAATGCATTGACAAATGTGTAAGCGCTGTTTCTCAATTCTCCGTTGTTGGTTTGTTTAACATTTCGTTTTGTTTCTAATCTTTTTGTGGAATTGTTACACAGGTTGCCCAATGATGCACTTTTGTATAGGAACGACAGCTCTCAATACAGCAGAAACAGTCACATAGCTTTGTTTCTGTACTCAAGAGACTATATAGCATCTTTCACTTCAGTCTCCCAAGTCTAGGATGAATAATAGTTCCTTATTCTTATAAATTGCATCATGCTAACTGCTATGGCACTTTCAAACTACATGAATGTCAAATGCTTCTGTCGTTGCACAAAATTATCTTGACACGTGGATTTAAAAGCTATAGATACCTGCTGTTAGATACACAACAGTAATTCAAGTCATAACTCAACTTTGAAATAATATGAACCTAGTCTTATTTTAGCGTATGATTTTCGAAATATACTTCTCTTTCCTCAATATTACCCTTTCATTAGCCAAGTGAATCAGCATGAGAAAATCACTCAATCGTAGGCTCAGGTTGCTACCTTATGTTTAAATACTTTACTCGTTGAGGCATATTAATTCTTGAGTAGGCTCAGATTGTTACCTTATGCTTAAATATTGTACTATTGGGAGAGTGTTATATATTGTTGGAAAACAATCTTTGCTAACTCAAACAAAATGTTCATCCTGATTCTCCTCACCTTAGAGCAAAATTTTAGTTCAATTTTAATTATAAATTTAGGTTGTTTCCTTTAGTCAGGACCAAAAAACAACCACATTGACTCCTAATTGGTATAGTCACACATTCTGCAAACAAGATCCATATATAATAAACAGATATAGAAGAAATACATAATCTTTTCTCTTTTTTTGTTGATTATATGAAAGATATATACACATTCTGGTTTTTGTTATCTCTCTTGCATGTTGTGGGAGGAAATGTCATAAATAAGTGATTTAATTATAGTCCTGAATTAGTTGGGCATTAAAATTTGCACGCAACCGGCCTTTAGGTAGAGAATATTGCTAAATAAGTTATAGAGCAGACAAAATTGCAAGGTGCAGTCAACTGCTATTCTTAAACTGCATATTCTTCCTCACTGTATTTGTGGGTTTTCTTATGGGCTACTGTCTTCTTATTTGGCAGATGGCGAGATGATAGGTATACTGTTAAATGGTTGATGGAATGTTCACCTAACACTACAACATATCAAAACCATGCGGCAATTTTATCATATTAATATTCCCTCTGTTTTTGCTATTTTGATGTATTGATGATTTGACAAACTTCGTGATGAAACTCCAGTTACCTTAAGAGTTCTTGTTGATGGGGGGAACTGGTTGTCATCATCAAAAAGGAAAAAAATATTATTTTGATGTTTTCAGGATTTGATAAAATTCAGGGATGAGGAAACTCCAGTTACCCCAAGAGTTCTTGTTGATAAGGGAACTGGTGAATAAGCTTGTTATCATCAAAAAGAGAGAAAATGTTAGTTTGGATTTGATATTTAGTTTTGATGATTTAACAAACTTATGGATCTAACAAGGGACCAAATACTTGTCATTGCGACTAACAACAAGGCAACTTAATGAATAAACTCAATGATAGGAACATTTGCGTTTCATCATCAAGGGGGGGGGGGATTGTTAAATTCTAGGTAATTTGATGATCCTCACAAATGATGAATCTAACCAGGTACTAGATCAAGGAAACCTCACAAATGCAGAATCAAACTAAAGACCAGATCCAGGAAAGGGTTCTCTGATATCGGGACTGATGAAATGGGAAGTGAATGAGGAATATTTGTGTGTCTTTATAATAAAAGGGAAAAATTTTATACTCTAGGTGTTTGAATGATCCTCACAAATACATCCGGTACCTGGCAGATGATCTCGTTCATATTCATCGTGGGGTAGATTTTTAAAGTTTTCAAGGTCAGGTGGTAGGTAAATAGTGTAATTTACTGCACCAATAAGAAGAGTTGACGGGTTTGTCTGTTTCAGCGGCACACAAATGCAGGGACCAAGTCCCTCGCAGAGTTAACTCCGTCTGATACATAATGGTGTACAATTGTAAAGTTGTGTCTTGTCAATGTAGGTCAGGCACCAGAGTACTGAGCCAATATGAATAGATTTGAGTGTTTGTCCAACGGGTAAAAACTCTTTATGGTTGATATATTCAACATGAAAAACACAATGCTGAAGTCATTCATTCAAAGGAAGAAGTCAGCCAACAACTCTATTCTAGAACTCTCAATGAACACAGCAAGGGACCTGGTCCTAAAAAGTGTGCGTACGAGAAAAGGACGAAAAGACATTTGTCCAAGAGCTGACTCTGATGTGGTTGGTCCAAAGCTTTTCATGACAGCAGATCTCAGTCGATAGCCTCGTCCTAGCTGTTTGTGTCCACTTTGATATAGTCTCTTCTCCAACAACACAAACACAAGTTTTGACAAACAAAGTTTTGGATTTCAGAAAATCCAAAAGCTCAAAAACCAAAGTCCATCTTCAAGAAGTGTCATCCTAAGAGCAACATGGATCGTGATAGAGCTGCAAGCTATCTAGTTGTATTATGATTATATATTTTGTGCTTGCAATATAAATATGTTCCTAAAGAATAAAGGATTCAGATATTTTTTTCAGGTTTGTAAAAGTCTAATTAGTTAAGGATAACTGATTTAGTGAGCAACATCATTTTTTTCTTAGTCAAATTCTAAGTCATCTAAAGTTAGGTGGTTTAGTGGACGGTGTTGTATTCACTTAGAAAATTCTAAATCATCCAGAGCGTGGTATTTTAGTGAGCTGTGTTGTATCTTATTAGCAAAGTCTATGTTATCTAGGGGTAATAACTTAGTTGTCGGTGTTGTATCCGCTTAGGCTCTTCAATAATAGGTAGATTACTTGATTGTGAGATTAATAAAAAAATTTCACATTGGTTGTAATGGGATTTCACTTTTTTTTGAGAAGATAATTGAAGACAGTTGAAGTATGCAATAGGTCGTAGTTTTTACTCCCTTGAACAAGGAGGTTTCCATGTAAAATCATTGTGCATATTTTTACTTACAACCATTTACTTTCTTTATTTGTAACATTATGTTGTTAGTATGTCAAGGGACGTGGTCCATTGACTGTAAGTGAATGCACACATTCTATCAATTGGTATCAGAGCATGTGTTCTCTTGCTGGCTAACACCAAGAGAAGTTCATGTGGAAAGATGGTTGCTCCAGTCAACAGATTTCAAGAAGCATCAAAGAAGAAGTTGAAGAAATATAAGTCTATCTATCAAAATGAAATATGGTGAAACTTTTGATGAATATAAGTACATGATATAACTTACAAGAAAGTTTTAAAAATTAGAGAGGAAACATAGAATGTTACGTAAGAAAACTCAAACATAGTTGCAAATGCAGACTTCCTGTGCAATAAGTGTGGCAAACCAAGGAATTTCATAAGATATTTCCCTAAGCATAAGGTTGAATCCAAAGATCATCAAAGACCTGGAGGAGAGAAAGGCAAAAAAAAGGACCCGGTCACCAATAAGAAAACGAGAAAAGTTACAACTGGCTACATTGTGAATAAAGATCTTATTGTCTGGGAAGGTTCCTCAAGTTATTCAGATGAATCAGAGTGTCCTGGTGATGCATCCATGTTGGTTATTCAAGATGAGGATGATGAAGATGAGGTAACTCTTCTTGACATCAAGAAAAAATTGAATATTCTTTCTGTTAGAAGATTGAGAAAGCCAGCCAATATTTTGATTGACTCTATTATAGAGTTAATGATTGAAAAGGACTCTATGAACAATAGCCTTGATAGTCTATATGAAGAAACATATGTGATGAGTGTGCACATGTCAGTCATTGAGGAACAATTGGTACCTCTTTAATTTAAAAAACTAGTAATCAAAAATTAATTGGACTTGATGATTGAGAAATCAGGGAAAACAAAGAAGGATTTCACCAATTTGTAGACTGTCCTCGAAGAAAGTTTAAACATTATTGAGACTTGACTTTCTCTAGCTTTGGAAATAAATGATCAGCTGGATAGGGACCTGGTCCTTCTTAATGAAAAACTCAATACTTATCTTATGGACCAAATCCTATAAATTGTTCTCCAACATAACCAGTCAAAGCAACTACAACAAAAAAGGATTAGGTAGTTTGAACATTACTTCTCCCTACAACCCTCATAGTAAATATGTGTCTGTGTCAAAAAATTTACTGTGTCTCCATTGCCTGGAAAGAGTCACAAGAATACTTTTCAGTGTATAGACAGAAAAAGACACTGAAAGGGGGACCTTTTCTTGTTCGTATGTTTTTGAACAGGAGAAGGACCAACCTACCTAACTATACTAGGCACGAAACACTCTTTTTACGCCTCTATCTGCTTACTAAGATCTCACGTTAAAATGGGTTCCCAAGTGTAACAAGTGATATTTTTTGTAGGAGTTTGATGGAACTAGCAGTCAATGTTGGTTTGTGGAAAGTGAATGCTCGAAGCACATGATTCTGAACACTAAAAACTTCCTTTCACTCAAGGCACTTCGAGGGAGAGGTGTCTCTTTTGGCGATAAAAAAAGGATATATCCTTGGTGTTGCAGGTTTGAAAAATCTCTCTAAGTCTCCATTGAAAATCTTTACTATATGAGTGGGTTAAAGTATAGACTTCTCAGAGTTTCCCCAAATAAATGATAAGGGAAACGAAATCAAGTTACCTTAGAAAAGTGCTTTGTCACCAACGTGGCTACATGTACGTGGAGGACCTAGAAACCTCCCATAGAGATGATCTAACATGCCTCAGTGCTCAAAGTGAAAATGTTGACTTTTAGCATCAGAGGCTAGGTCATGTGAGCTCATCTTTATTGAATAAGCTAGTTTCTAGGGACCTGGTCCGTGGTCTACGAAAAATGAAGTTCAATGACTAAAAAGTGTGTGATGCATGTGTCAAAGGGAAGCATACAAGATCATCATTCAAACCAAAGAAAAAAAATCTATGCTACCTAAGGGCTTTTGTGTGCAATTGTGATGATCAATCGCAAGGATGATCTGCGAAAGTTCGATCCCTAGACTAATGAAGGAATTTTTGTGGGGTACTCATCTTCATGTTTAGAGTATAGGGCACTCAAGAAAATAACATTATGAAATGAGGAGACTTTTCATATGATCCTTGATGAAAGTGGTGATTTGAAGAGCCTAGAGATAAGGGACAATGATGACATTAATGAGCTACTCAAAATCCAAGATAACGAAGCCAATCTGACTAAAAATGAAGGAGATATAGATTTCGACAATGGTGATACTAGTCCATTTGAGAAAGTAAAAGAGGATTA